GTATAACTTCACTGCCAAAACATTTAGGGGGAATATTAACAGGTTAGGGATAAACACAATTTCCACTGCCTATCACCCCCGCCCAAGGCGCCTTGGAAAATTCCACCAAAAAATTAAAAAAAATGATAGAAGTTTTTGCATCATTTCCCACAGATTGGGTAATCCCTTTCCATTTTTGGTTCTCATACGAGAACGGTGCAAGAGTTACGGGTATAGTCCCTTTTAGTGATTTTTGGCACAATGACGAGGTCCCTTCGGGGGGCTCAAAAAAGGAGGATGGGAGAAGACGTAAGCTCAGCCCCAACAACTTTTCAAGGTTTCAGGTGGCACGGGGGTTAGCCCCGGTAAGTAAAGCACTAAGTAGATGAAAAGAAAATAAAGACAGAAATGCACAAATTTCCCTCCTTTTCCCTCCAGGAGACAAGGGGTTTTTGGCAGGGAACCCCATACCCGGCCACACCCTTTAAACTAGATTTCGGGACCCTTTCAGATAGTAATGATTATTGATTTAAAATTTTGTTTAGTCCCATTATAAGACCCCAAAAAAAAAAAACTACCAATAAATCAAATCAAGGCCTTTTTACACCAGATAAAGTCCCCCTAATGACCTTTTCCTTACCCCTGGGACGACCGACTCTTTGAAATCTATCTAAAAATTTAAACTAAATTTCAAATTCGTCCCCCTCAAGGGTCCTAGCCGTTTTGATGGTTATCTGAAATACAAGAACCCAAAAATTTAAGACTTCTAAGTATATCCTAATATTTTTTCGGGTTGTGGGGAAAAAAAATGTACGTTAGGGTTTCCATGATGTAATTGGGAAAATCTAAACCAAAAAAACTCTCCCCCTACAGATAATCCCGAAAAACAAAGGGTTTCTTTAGAGGAATAGATTCTTTTTTGAACAGGTTTTTGTGGAGAGTGTCTAGGGGCCTGGGGGCTTCCCGGCATCCAGTAAAAAAGGGAGGAGGGTTTGTATTGCACAGACTACCCAAAGTGAAGAGGTAAAATTAAGGCTTACCCTCTTCCCGTCTGGATGATAATGAAATTTTGGGTAAGGTACTTTTGGTTCCCAAAATTTAACTCCTTTAAAAATTCATCAGGTACCTTTGAAATAAAGGGGAAGGAAATCTCTGCCTTTGTATTGGGGTCATTATCGTTACATTTACCCCCTTTGGAATGAAAAATTCCCCCCCTTCTTCCAGAAAAAACCTCCACAGGATTAAAGGACTTGAAGGGACGGCCCGCATACCTAGATGATTTGTTGGGTGCTGTATTGGGTCAACACCTACTTAATAAAGCTTTTTGAGATTTAAGAATTCCCCAATTTAAAGTTTAATTTGTCTAAACTTCCTTTGGGCCCGGCAGTCTTTTTTAGGCCATGAAGTAGGGGGATGGTAAAGTTGCACCTAAACTTGAAAGTTCTTTGATTAAAAGAATACCCCGTTTTCCCATGATAAAGGGAAAACTCTTCAACTTTTCCCAGGCTGATAGATTTTACAGAAATTCTGAAGAATTTCCGTATTGTAGCCCCCCTTACCTCCTTTACCAGTCATAAAGTTCCCCTTTTAATTGGGGTCGATTGTAAAAAGTTTTTAAAAAACAAAAAGATTTTGTGCTCTGCACCCCTTCTCTTTTCCCGCTTCTCCAAACCTTTTTCAATAAGGGTTTATTTGTGAGTCTGGGGGTTTGGGGGGGGCTTTAACAAATCGGGGAAAAAGGATGCAGCCAAAACGCTACTTTTCAGCCAATTTTCCCCCACATCAGGAGCTTTTTACCATTTAAAAAAAGCCCTCGCGCGGTATGGTTTGGGGCTTTCGATGTTTTGGGCCCAAAAACGAGGGGGTCACAGTTACAGTATAAAACCCCTTTTTGTCTATCCCAAGCCATGAAAAATCACCACAAGGGTATGGGTTGGGCTCTCAGGCTGCAGCCCTACAAATTTTTTTTTAAAAAATTGCGGCAAAAAAAATTTTTGGCAGACTCTTGTCAAGATTGTTTTTTATTTTATTTTGGTTGGATGTATTTTTGGAACCCCCCCTTTAAACTCTTTTTTTATCCCCTGTGGGGGTTTTTTTTTTTGAGGGGATACGGGTACCCCTCCTTTTTATTTGGACCTAGTTTGGGTTTTCTGTGCTGTCTCCTCTGAGTTTAGGGTTTGGCTTCAGGGACTGGGGAACTAGCTCTATTAAAAGTTGGAGGGGAAGATAGGGGTCCCATTATTTTTGCCATGGCGGCCTTCCCCCTGGGGGGGTGGGCCAGGGCCTAATCCCGAGCCTTTGGGGGGGGGGTGGGCATGCAAAGAGAGTAACCTTTATTTGGCCGCAGACACACCCATTTACAGGGTATCTCCCCCAACCAGCGGGAAAGGTTGCAAGATTTTATGTGGGGGCCCCCTCGTTTAAATGTGACCAGGTTTTTAGCCCAAAAAAAGGGGGGATTGACAATCGCAGAGGTTATGGGATACGCTCTCCTGTCTGCCTTGTCATTCCCCTTCAGAGCGGTTGAAGCACGGTCTGCTTTCTTGTGGTTCATTTTCTTTTTCTTACCCGGGCTTGCACTAATTTATTACTGTACTATGACAATTGTGTTCTAAATTTGGGGAAGGAATAAATCTAAACTTTTTTACTGGTTTTTTTGCTCCCTTACACCCCGGGTTAACAGGCCCTTTGAAAGCCTAGGTTTTTAAATCAATTGTAAACGAGGAAATTAAACTTCATCGATACAAAACAAATTTGGCACAAAATAGAGCGAAACACCAAGTCAAAGACCTGGGAGTGATTATGTGGAAAAGGCTTCCCCTTCAAGGCCAAAAATTTATCAATCCATCGCTGAAAAAATGAAGGATGGATAAGAGAACCTTCAAAAAAAGGGAGGGCCCAAACCCATGTGCATTTCAGGTACTTGTCATCTAGGTGGGAAATTGCTGCACACTAACAGACCTTTTAAGGCAGGTGAAATTGCCGACCTAAAAAAAGTACAGAGAACTTTTAGGGGCCCCAAAAAGGAGAAAAAAACCCCTAAATTACGGGGAGCGCTTGGGTTCCTAAACCGTATTCCCGGGAAACGAGGAGGGAGAATACTGATTAATAACCGGAAAATCCTAAGGGATGGTCCCGAATTTAAACACCGAAATCACTCACTACAAAAAGCAAAAGACGGCAGACGATGCACCCCCCCCCAATAAAAGGGGGTGTCACTAGTCGTTAAGAGACCCTACAATAAGTGCAGGGGCCCAAGACTGTTCAATGCCTCCCCGCACCCAATAAGGGGGATTACCAAAGACCCCTGACAGTCTTCAAGTGGGACGGACGTACCCAAAGTCTTTTTTGATCACCCGGGGTTTGGCCTACCTTTGGGTTTGCGTGCAGCCAGCACACGCCTGGTTGTCGGCTCTGATCCACCAGGGGCCCGGCACAGCGGGGCCCACGGGGAGCGTTTGACCCCCGGAATCTCTCCAGGTTAAAAATCCCGGAATAAGCAAGGGGAAAATATTTTAAGGTTTTAAAATAGTACAATGTAATGTTTCCTTTTTTTTTTTTTTTTTTTTTTTTTTTTTTTTTTTTTTTTTTTTTTTTTTTGGTTTGTACTGTGTACTTAATATAATGTAATTATGTTTCTAATTTTTTTTAGCATGGAATGAATAAAAGGCCAGATTTGCTTTCCAGCGATATTTGCTTTTTGGCATGGCTGGAAAATCTATGTATTACTGAGGTACCCTGCATCCCCCAAAAAAACAAATTTCCCTACAAAAAAATATTTTCTGTGGTGTATACAAGTTCTTATTGTAAATTGCAAACTAAACCAGCTTTCACTGAGTAATAGTCCTTATCCTTACCCCAAACTTTTTTAAAACAAACTGAAAGAAAATAATATTAGCTCAGTAAAAAAACCATGATACATAAAGATTAGCAACCATCACTAGGATAAAAAAAAGTTCATGATTCATACTTTACATCCTCTTACAATACTATGCATCGTTTTAGCTCACACCTGAGGAACCTGATCCTCCCCCCGCAAGGGTTTAAACACTTGGCATGTTCATTACACTGTGCCCCCGCTAGCCCAGCAGTAAGTAGGTACTTTAGTTTTATTTGGGAGGGGGTTATTCCCGGGGGAGGGGTTTTTAAAAATGGGCCCCAAAAGAAATAGGCAATTGCGTGATGCACGACATGTTGTGTTATCCGGGGGGCTAACATCCAGGTTTTAAAAAAAAACAAAATACTGTTTTTTAAATACTTAAACCCCCCAAAAACAATTTTTAATCACGTGGAAGCCCGGTAGGCAACACCGCCTCTCACACACAGCATCTTGGTTTGACCTGACAAAGTTGGGGGGAAAAATTGGGCGTGTTTCCTTACCCTGTTCCTGTTCACTAGCAATAGTTAGTCGTGGTGTGGGGGCGCATCCCGGGGGACCAGACGAAGGGAAAAAAGAAATAAAAGTCCCTCAATGACAACTACTTTCTCGGGTCATCTTTGGGGGTTAATCCCCCGGGGGTTAAAAATTGAAAACAAAACAAATCTTATTCCATTTCCAAGGAAATGGGAGATAATTAGGTTTGTACCAAGGAAGGGGAAAATAGGTCCAATTTCTTGTATCAGGAACTCTTCACTTACATTGGAAATAAGTCGCTCTGACTTTTATGGGTTATCAGGTAATTTACACTTTGTATAATTGTACTTATTTAAAAACATGCTATAATGGTCATAAATATGGGAGCAACAAAGGGAACCAGATATACTACATAATTTAAAAACTCTACACTGGAACACCATAAAGCAAAGATATCTTCACAGGTTCAAATAATTAGTAAAAGATAATTATAAGTTCAGTGACTTTAAAGTAACCAACCACTCGTTCTTTACCAGCCTAAAACTCCACCTACCTCACTCTTTTATATTCTCCCTACCCTGTATTGTCACACACAAGCCTCATTAATCTCCACATTATTTCATCTCAAGCTACAAGTATAATATATCGGGGTGTGTTTCATACTAACAAGAGTAATGTCACATAAACTAGCACACTGCTGCCCTATTGTCAACCCAAACTTCAAATCAGAGTCTAGACCACCTCTCTTAACTGCTTGTAAAACACCCGAATTGAGTCATTTCTCAGTTAAAATTAACCCCGACACCGGGTTATAAAAATTGCGTTTGGTTTAGTTGATAACAGAGTGTATTATAGGGTATGTTAAGAAGATTAAGAGAAATGTTGTATTATGAACTGGTGTTGAGGGGCCGCACCTGTTGAGTGACCTGCGGTTGAGTGTATCCGCTGTGTCAACCCTTCCTTCTTACTTCCACCCCCCCCCCCCCCCCCTCTTTTTTTTTTCCCCAGAGTTTGACAAGGTTAGGTTTATTGACAAGCTATTTACAGGTTAAGGATTCGTAATTTTATTGATAAGCTAAGAGCTGTTACCTACATCAGCTTATTTGAAAGCATTTTTATTGTTATGAGACACAAGTAGGGAACAGGATGAAGTTGGAGCCTTCTGTGGGCCCGCATTTTTTATTTGATCAACCGACTTTTATCTCGTTGAAACGGGGGAGGGAGAGTCGCATTTTTTTATAATGTGATACAAACACGTTATGTAGGTGTATAATTTTCGTCGACTCTAGGGGTTTATATTCTGGCATTTAAAACCTGCTCAAATAGGCAGCCAAAATGTTGGATATGTGCAGTCCTGCATAAATTTGAGCAAAGATGGACAGGACAATCTACAGGGACCCTAGATAAGCTATCTTAATTATGATTGTAAATTCTGGCCAGCATTATCTCATAGATTTGGGTAGAGAGGGGGTTTCTGTACATGACACACAGTAATCTCCAGACTAATTGGTGAGTGTTATGATTATAAATTCTCATTGTAATCATTTATTAATTTAATATACAGTCCACAAATTTATATTAAATTTTACCAGAATTCCTGGTGATGTGCATTTCATTTGCAATTAATACAGGTCTAGAGCAATTTGTGGAAAGATAGATGGTAGGTATCGAAGGGGGATATTTTTTGTGACCTAGGTGTCCTAAAAATTCCTACTTGTCTCTGTAACTTTGATAAATAATAATTATCTTTGTTACCATTTACTGGTATGTATTTAATGAGATTCATCCAGGTAAATGTAATTTTCCACAATTTAGTAGCCCATTGGTCCTTGATCGAACTGGATGTAATTAGTGAAGCATGTCATTAATTAGTGAATTAATTACTTAATAATTATATGTGAAATGACAGGAGGTGGATGTTAGGTCCACAAATTTACTTAATGTGTTGTGGATTATAATAATTATAATATTAATTCTGATAAGCCAAGTATGGTCCGCTAGAATTCATATTAATGCATTTAATAATGTATATTATAATTTTCGTTACATGTGTAATTGCTAAGCTCGAGTGTAACCAGGATTCATATAGTGTATTTAAAATTTATATTATAATTTTCTTACATGTGTAACTTACTAAGCTCAGTGTTAGCTGTCATTATTTAATGCTAAATTTAAAGTTTTATATTATAATTTTCTTACATGTTAATTGCTAAGATCAAGTAGCTAGGAAATATTCAAAGGTAAGTTGTAAATATTTACCTTATTAAAGTGCATAATAAGTACATAAATCAGTGTTATAATTAAGTTGAAATTTAAGACATTTGCATCATGGTGAACTGAAATGAGGAAAATTAATGTAAGGAAGACAAATGCATGGAATATAGAGCAAAAAAAATCATATTGGCAGGATAGAAAGGGTCATGTAACAAAGCATTACAATAAGTGTTTCGGAAGTAAGAATCAAGAAACTATGAATACTGATGATTTAAAATTGTATTAGATGTTTTATGGAAAGATATGATTCATACAATATTATATTTTAATAAATATGAAGAAGGGAAGGATTTGTTAGTAACGGTTTGTAATAGATGAGACAGACAGTAGCATCTTATGATTAACCTGTATTATGATTAGAGGAAAAAGATTCTTTCTTGTAAAAGTCAGAAGGCATTGAATTAATTAATATATGTAAACCCAGGCAGTTAATCATCTGCTCCAACAAAATAAGATGTCTTTGCCAAAACTCCCAGAATTATGATTTCTGTATTTAATTCTTGGAGAAAAATTGGGAGGTGTTTTGCGTCAATTTTTAAAGCAGCTGTTGCTATGATAGAGTGACTAGCCTGTGTAAATAAATTATTTCTACCATCAAGGTGCAGTTAAGAGGAGTGCTCACATACCCATACAAAGCCTTTCCCAATGTAGATGATTCATTACAAAGAAGCAGCTTTGGGGGGGCTTGTTGAAGGTCACTTTTTGGTAATATAGAACAAAGTGGGTTGGGAATCTAGTGAATAATTATTGTTCAATTTAAAATCTCCAGATCAACTTAAAAAGGTTTACAGCAAGTTTAGAGTTAAACTGCGGAGAGCACTCTCAAAACTTTATGTAATATAAATATAATCTGAAGGAATCAGACTGGTTATTGAGTGTCCATTGTACAGAATAAATTAAGCTGTAAAAAAATCTTGAAAATGACTCTTCGAACAAGTATCACAAAGGTTTATTTTGGTCTGGAGGAAATAAAATAGGTCTGCTAAGAATTAATTGTTAGTTGTCAAGACCAGCCAAAAACTAACTCGTTTTAAAGATGACAACAATATTAACTCTAGGTATCTGTCAAGATTTCCAAAGGGAGAAAAAACTTATCCAATGTTAATAACCAAAATTAATTTCCTAAATAAGAGTTGCATAGGGGCCAATCAAGAGCAGGATTCAGAATTAATGATTTCTCCACAAGGTAAGAAGAATAAGTACCCTCCTAAGAGTAGCCCAGTTAATTAAGAAACCAGGTCAAAGAAAAGTCCGAGATTGTTCTCTTCTGCAAGGGTACTCAATTGTTTCTAAGATATTGCAATGTATACAATTCATGAATGATGAGTTGTGAAAAGGTTGGAGGGGTATTGACAGTATGTATCAGATTGCCTAGCTAATCAACAATGTAAAGGATTGTCATGCCAAATTAAACAACTGTTATCAGTGCACAATGGAAGACACCATAAGCATGTTAAGGTCATATATATAATGTTTGATAATAATGAAATGTTGACCAATCCTGGACAAACCAGTGGCTAATTATAAAACAAATTGTGCTAATGTTTTGGTCGTGGTATCATATGGCGTTATAGATCTAATATGCTTATAACTGCATCCTATAACAATCATTTGCATTTATTTCCTTCTCTCCTAATATTATTCCAATGCTAGGAATCATAGCATTTGGAATAACATTGCTTCCATCAGAAGCGGTTGTCTAACTTACATTCATATTAGTGCAACAAGAAATATTGATGATCTCTGTTATGCAGGGAAGATGGAGCACTCACCAAAAGTTCCTGGATATGCAGCTTATAACTTTCAGTCTATATTCCTGCAAGGAGTTGACTTCAATATTCTTGGTGAACTATTATGATTTTAAGTCAGGAAAACCGTTTCTGATGCGAAGCAATGTTCCATGAAAAAGATTTGTAATGTATCCATTGTAGGTGAGTTATTACAATCTCTTGGCCTCATAAGATGGTTAAAAACTATTTATGCTTTGGCTACAGCGTGCAAACAACTTAGAACATATTTTATAGTTTGTACGTCTTTGTCTTCAGGACCTTTCTCTTTAAGCATTTATTCTCGGCATCTTGGCAGCCAGAATCCAAGGCAACCTTTGAAGCCAAGAGTCATGGGCTTTTTCTTACAAATTGCTTGATAACTGAACAGAGATTGCTGCACTTTTGACATCATTCCCATACTCTAGAGCATCATCCTGGACTACATAATTTACTAAAATTGTCTGATCTGTTCAATGATGCTCATTTTTTCCTGCAGATTTGTTATAATATGAGAAGAGTCAGCTGAATCAATGCCTATCCAGACGTGTGCGTGTGTGGGTGTGTGTGTGCAGTGTGTGCGTGTGTGGGTGTGTGGGTGTGTTTTTGTGGTGTTGTGTGGTGGTGTGTGTGTGTGGGTGTTGGTGAGGGTGTGTGTGGGGTGTGTGTGAGGGTGTGTGTGTGTTGGTGTGTTGGTGTGTTGTCGTTGTGGGTGTGTGTGTGTGGGTGTGCGTCCTTGTGTGTTTTGCATATTTTTGTACTGCTCGTGTGCACATGTCAGTGCGTGCGCCCTCGGTGTGTGTAGTAATTGTGCGCGCAGCGCGCTAGTGTTTACTGCGAGTTTTACTGGAGAGAGTTCCGGGGGTCAACGCCCCGCGGCCCGGTCTGAGACCAGGCCCTCCTGGTGGATCAGGGCATGATCAACCAGGCGGTTGCATCGCTGGCTGCCGCAACAAACATAACGAGCCGCACAGCCCGGATGAAATCCGGAACTGACTTTTTTTTAAGGTGCTTGTCCAGTGCCAGCTTGATAGAATGCCAGGGTCTGATTGGTAATCCCCCTTATGTGTGCTGGGAGGCAGTTTTGAACTGTCTCGGGCCCCTGAACTTATTGTATGGTCCTCTTTAACGTTGATAGTGACAACCCCTGCTTTTCATTGGGGAGGATGGTGCATCGTCTGCCAAGTCCTTTTGCTATTCGTAGTGAGTGATTTCGTGTGCAAGTTCGGTACTAGTCCCTCTAGGTTTTTTACAGGTGTATTATAATCATGTATCTCTCCCTCCTGCGTTCCGGAATACTGGTTTAGGAACTCAAGCGCTCCCAATAATTGAGGTGTTTTATCTGGTTATGCGCGCCCGTGAAATTTCTCTGTACATTTTCTAGGTCGGCGATTTCACCTGCACCTTGAATAAGGTGCTGTTAGTGTGCAGCAATATTCCAGACTAGATAGAACAAGGTGACCTGAGAGTGTCCATCATGGGCTTGGCCTCCCTAGTTTTATGAGGTTTTCATTATCCATCCTGTCATTTTTCTAGCAGATGCGATTGATACAATGTTATGGTACTTGAAGGTGAGATCCTCCGACATGATCACTCCCAGGTCTTTGACGTTGGTTTTTCGCTTATTTGTGGCAGATTTGTTTTGGTACTCTCGATGTGATTTAATTTCCTCCATGTTTACCATATCTGAG